GAGAGAGCAAAACAAAGGATAGAGAACATCTGCCTAATACAAGAAAGCACATATGAAAAATGTTAAAAAGAGGAAGATGATGTTGAAGGATGTGGAATGGGAAGAAGACAACTTGGAAATTACCATGTCTTTTGAAATGCAAAGAGTAGAAACTCAAATAATGGTCAACTATGCTAAATTCCCTTTGTCCATAAAAGCCTTTATGAGCTGACTTGGCCCACTAATTTAATGATTTACCATACTATTTCTACATTTAAATTTCAATCATAGAGAAAGGATAACTGCAGTTTCTAAATGAATAATTTTAAGGGGAGAACTCTTGCTCTCCTTTAAAACAGAAGCTATCACAGATAGTGTGACTAAGTTGCATGGGTGGTGTGAAGCATATTTAACTGTCAAAAAGACTAGGAGTGCATATTTGACCCCATTATTATTTGTTGGTCTGTCTGTATAAAGGTTATTGCCTCTGCATTTACCCTTCTTAAAATCTGAAAGCAAAGATACTGCATAGAAACATTTTGAGGTCGTATTAGAATACACCGAAACAGTCATTGGAGCTTAGTACTTAGCAGTGAAAAATGGTGAAAATACTGAAGAGTAACTATTGTTGTCATTGGATATATCTGCAATATTATATCCAACACAATTGAGGCTGATTAATACACCGTGTGCAGAAGAGCTCACAGATTCCCAGAATCAAAGGTCACATTTCTGTCTCAGCATTGCTCAGAGCATGGCCAGCTACAGCAGGTTGCTCAGAGGTATGTACCAGCAAGTTTCATTATATCCAAGAATGGAAATACCACAACCTCTCTGGGCAAGCCGTTCCAGTGTTCACCTGTCCTCACAGGAAAAATGTTTTTTCCTGAATTACGGTTGAATTTCCTGTCTTTCTAGAGGTGACATCTTGGCAAAAAGAACTGACTTGGCCAGTGACCAGTTCAGTGTTCTCTGTCATTTCAGCACTTACCCCACCCTGCAGTCATACTGAAAAGAGAGAATTATTTTGGAGTAGATCTTTATTCTGTTGGACTTAAATCTAAAAAATCAAATTTAGGGATCCGAGTAAATTAACTAAACAGCACTTTTTGGGCGGTCATATTCTTGTCCTCAAGAAAATAATTTTTTTGCTGATTCAAAGACAGAGCAAAATATTCAGCATAGTAAAATTTGTATCCAAAATCTCAAACAAAGGCAAAGAGATGGTGCAGGCTAAGTCCCCCCTAGAGACCATTATGAGTGCTGTTTGAGTCACAATTTATATCTCAAGGTGGATTTGGTAAAGCACTTTGTTTTTTGCAATTTGTTGCAACCAACAGCTTAGGCAAATCTACAGTAAATCCTTTCAACTTGCTTTTGAATGTGTGATACTTGTTCAATTACATGGGATTTAGATGGTTAGGAACTGAGTTTGGAACCCAGTGAATGTTAAAAAGCTCTAGAAATTGTTTGGTGTATATCAGAAACTGAATAACTAGAAAGAGACTGCATGTCCCTATGAAGCATCTTTTCATCCTTTTTGTTTGGTTGGTTTTTGGTTTTTTTTGTTCCCCAACATATGAGTTTATGTGGCTATTGCTCCTGGTTTTTAAGAAATCACAAGTTCTCTAATTTCGCTCTTTTGCTGATAATGCTCATCATTCTAGATCGTTCTAGAGTAAGGTTTGTTTGTAGAGTGGGTTTCTGTTTGTAGGCAAATTATCATGACAGACGTTGTGTAATTTGCTATTACAAAGTGCAGCTTCTTGATTTAGTTCAGAAGACAGAAACCTAACCTTGAATCTTTTGAATACAGTCAACTTCAGCACTCTGAATCAGAGTCATGGAATGGTTTCAGTTGAAAGAAACCTTTAAAGGTCATCTAGTCCAACTTCCTTGCAGGGACCAGAGACACCTTTAACTAGATCAGGTTGCTCAGCGCCCTGTCCAACCTGACCTTGAATGGTTCCAGCAAGGGGCATGCTACCACCTTCCTAAGCAACCTGCTCCAGGGTTTCACCACTCTCATTTTAAAAAATACCTTCTTTGTATCTAGTCTGAGTCTACCCTCTTTTAGTTTAAAGCCATTACCTCCCTCGACCTGCTGAATCTTGAGCTGTAGGAAGAAATCTACTTCTAAGGGAAAAAAACAGATGTTAAAAAAAGCACAGAAGTGAAAATGGGGGACTCATAAGTGATGAAGAAGGGTTCTATAAACACTATTTCATAACATGAGTAGTCTGGTCATTGCAGACTCCAAGCTATTTGAATTTTGTAGAAGCCATATTTATTATGATCAATAGACAGACAGACAGATAGACAAACAGTATATTTACAGTCTGCTTATAGTAGAACCTCTTGGTTGGAAATAATAAATTATTTTCCCTGTTTAGCAGATCTTTGTAGATCATAGAACACTACAGATCTATATAGAACACTGTAGACCCCAAGTACGTGACATTCCTTCTAAATCTAAGTGTGTTTCATTGGAGAAAGATTTATGCTTCCCTTATGTTTACCTTACTTTCCAGGGTACTGTTAAAAATTTCTTGCCATTTTTAACCTTGTTCTTTGCTTGCCTTTCTATCCCACTTCTTCTCCCTTTCTCTCCTTCCCTTTCTCCTCTGCCCTCCACTTTCATCTCTCCTCTCCTCTCTCCTCTCTCCTGAACGTAAGAGGGAACTATATCTTAGTGAGATGTCATTTGTCAATGTAATGTTAACATTACTTTGATAGCTCAAATGAAATACCCATTCTCCGTTATCTCCCTGACTAAAATTTAAGGTGGGACTACTTTGCAGATAATGTCTAAAGGAGATGGTTTTTTCAGCAGAAGAAGATTTTCTTTTGGTTTAGCTTTGTGTCCTTCTTTTATTCTATGATTCCCAATCATTAAATATTTTTATGAACTGTCATTTCTTAATTTGGTTATCTTTACTGTAAATAAACATATCTTACATGTCATGGGGTCATTCTTACCCTGTTTGCTTCTGGTCAACTAATATTTCACCTTTTCTCCCCACTTTGCTGCATTAAAATGGAGCAGTAAACCTGACAGGTGAGAAGTGAAAACTAATCACTCTTCGTTTAATCCAGAAAAGGAGAAAAAAACAGTTATCATGATAATGATCTAAGACAAAGTATCTGTCAATCTATGTGAATGTAGACAGTAATCTATTTGTATGACAGCAACTGAAAGATTTGTTGTGTTGTTTACAGCACTGAAAAGTAATGTAACATATGCAGGCAAGTTTCACTGCTTTTTTTTGCATCTCCATGAGGTACATTTTCAAGAGACAGCACAACTATACAGTGTACATATGGTTTTATTTGTGTTTTAATTAAGTTAAAAGAATGGTTCTTTGCTATAACCAAAGCTGTTGAAGGAATGCATGGTTGTGGTTGAAGTGTTAGCCACTCTAAATCTCCATAAAGCTCCATACACACACACAGAGTGCTGATTTACAATTCTACAAGTGGAAATGATATGGTAATCTCATTTGTCTTTTATGGATTTTTTTCCACCTGTCTCAACGCCATTCCATAATCTGAAAGAATTTTGATGTCTTGTGTAGTCTGGAAAAATACAAAAAAGCCAGAATGATCTTGAGAATAATAAGAAATAACAAGCCATTCTATTACCCTGTAAGTATTCAAAATATTCAGGTTAGATATGATTAGAAGAGATTTTAGTGCTTTTAATAGACTAATATGAAGTTGTGGTGCCCAGTACGGACTTGCAAATGGAAAAAAGGTAAATTAAGTTTGTCTCTGGACAGTTCCACTGATCTCTAGACTTAAGGAGAACGAACTACAGATAAAAATATTTCTTGAAATCTGCATCACACACCTTTATTTAAGAAGAAGGAACGCTAGGGCATTGTGCTACTGTGGCAGGAGTTTGAGATAATCTGAATCAAAAGCAAAAAAGGAATTTCAACTGACTTTGTCCATAACAATTAAAAAAAAAAAGAGTAAAACCAGAAGAATCAGATTTAAATCTTCTTTGCTTCATTAATATGTTATTTACCAGAGAAAAGATAGAATGTTTTTACAGCAAAACACTTCCCACTCCCCCTGACTCCTAAAATTATAGGACTAGTAACTTTCAAATAATTCCTGCAATGAGGTTGCTGTTTGAGTTTTTTGCATAGTCTTTGAAATCTTGCTGTGTCCGCCTTTCGTGAATGCTACCAGGTGTTCATCATTTCAAGAACAGCAAGAAATCAATTGTAGCACTTTTTAAGACGGGAGCTCAGCGGAATAATAACAGATTTAGCATTGTCACATTGTGAGTCAATTAGAAAAAAAAGGAGAAATAAAATTCCAGCAACAGCTGTATGTTAGAGCAAATATTGGACACCTGGTAAAGATTTTGCTATCATAAACCTTAAAATTCTTTTTTTCACTAAGTAACTCTGCTGCTGTTTGCATCTTTATTTTATTTTACATGAAGAATATCAACCACTTTGCATTTTCATTCAGGAACTCACAGATGACTACTGGAGCAGGATTACACTTCAAATTAAAGCATTAAATTGTCAGATTCCTGAACAAAAATGCCGAGTGGCAGATATTCTGCATGCAACATAGTTCTCCATGTTTTGTACCACATGAACTCTTGCTTCTCTCCAGAGGAAGTGAAGCATACACAATTTTTCTTTTTCTTTCCTTTCTTTCTCTCTTTCTTTCTCTTTTTCTTTCTTTCTCTCTTTCTTTCTCTCTTTCTTTCTTTTTTCCCTTCCTCCCTTCCTTCCTTCCTTTTCCTTCCTTCCTTCCTTCCTTTTCCTTTTCCTTCCTTCCTTCTGTCCTTCCCTCTGACATAACTATATTTAGATTCATTTTGCCATTGCAAATTGTAGCTACCCTACCCACCACACATAGTTATTTTACCTGGATCAAATACTCTTTCAGAAATAAGCATCTTACCTTTAGAATATAATGATTGAACACTCAGGCACCTTTGTTTGCAAGCTAACACCTCAATCTTATGTTTATGTGTATTCACTTTCTCCACACAGGAAGAGGGCTGAATCTGATTCTAGAAAGAGCAGCATACCTAACAACAAGGAGGTCCCCTCTCACCATCCCACAGACCCAGTGGAGCTGCGACGTCTCAATTTTCAAACTCCAGGTAAGAACAATAATACCTCACTGAGAGCTCTGTGATCAAAAACTGATAAGTGGTGCTGTTACAGAACAGAACGATTATTAGGAATATGTTTTGATTGCTTATGAAGTTTTTGCACAATGTATTTCTTTGTTAGTTTTCAAAATAACTCTGTCATTTATTTTAAGAAAAATCCTGCATGAACAAAATTAAAGTCCTGTTAAGAAGACCCCAAAGTAACACATGTTGTATGGATGTGTTTTATGTGCTAAAATTCTAAGTTAAACCTAACAATGCCAGAAAACATTATTAGGAAATGTACGTCCTTCTATTTATTAACAATCTTCTTACAGCTACTTCTTTGTAAATAAGCTTCCCTCTTATCTACTGCCTTATCAGGTAATCCATTAACATCATTGGAAGTTCCACTACATTGTAAATGTACAATACAAATCTTGTCTTTTAAAATCAGGCTACACCTTAGGGTCAAAGAGGATATTAACATGTCAGTAGTTGTGAAGGTAAAAGCAACACATTCCCAAATATCTTATTTACTTATTTTGTTTATTAAGCATTGTTTTCTTGAAGCTGTTTGATTTGTGATAGTTAAGATAAACAAGGAGAGAAATACTTAAAATAATATTGTTTTTTTTACCACCTTTTCATGAGTCTTTTTTTTTTTTTTTAAATTGGCTTTATTTTCACCATGATGTATTCTAGTAGGCTGTTTTCTATAAAAATATGTTTGCACACAGTCCTGGTCTGATGCTAATTACTTACCAAGTCTTCCTGAGACTTGTGTTTGTCAAATTTATTGCATTAAGTGCAAAAAATAATGAGTTCAAGATCATAAAGGCAGGAAATTAGGTACTGGAAATGTTGAGAGATTATCTGCAGAAGCTGACATACAAAATATTACAAAAGGGTTAACTGAACTTGCAAATCTCATTTCTGATCTTCCAAGTAGCAGCTATATTAAGGTACTGTGGCCTCAGCACTAATGGATCTGAAAAGCAATTAATTTGGGGATAAAGACCCAACATCCACACTGCATGCATATGGTGGAGGTAGAATGGGAATAGTCCAGAGGCTTGAGTTTTACCCCAGCCTTGCTTTTCTAGTCTGTTCCTGTACACTGAATGCTCCTCAGCAAATTAGGTATGTTTCAGGAGTGCATCTTCTAGTTTAGTTTCATCCGAATATGACAAACTTGTTGACGTGCTCTGGGACCTCTCTACAATATGAGCCTAAGTGCAGTAAATGGAAATGCTTGAAAGTTTTCGTTCACGGTTGTTCTTCTGAGACTGCAATATTAATGTAGACTCATCCTTACTGAGCAATGGGTTTATATGTTATACAGCACTTCATACAAAGTTTTAAATGTTGTTACAGAGACAGAAATATGCATACAAGTCTTTGAAACCTCAAAATAAAAATTACGGTTCTTACAATTTAGCTGATGCCTAAAAGAGGTCATTATCTCTATACAGGTATACGCTGAGTAGAGTGGATGGCTTAATGACTAAGCATAATTTTCTGCTGTCCATATATTTAGATGTGGAGTCTTACCTATCCATTTAGTATTCATCATAAACTAAAATAAAACATGAGCAGAAAAAAAAGCTGTCAAGTCTTAACAACTTTATCTATATAATTAATTTATTGTAATTAATCCTATATTTACATTTAGACTGTAAGGTTAGTATGAAATTTCAGACATTGTGGCACTTGTAGAAACCGTAATTCCGCCTCAATGATCTGAAAAGAGCTGGAAAGGAATGGAAGTGTACCTTTCCTTGCGGTGCTATAGTTTGTCTGGGAAGTTTGCAGTTTTCTATGAAGCTGGTTGAGAAGAACACCTGCAATCCATTTCCACAATGAGGTCTTTTTCTTTTCTGTATACCTTTTCGCAAAATGGAGTAGTATTAATGTTGTGAAAAATATAGTACAGAAATCAAATTATGACCTTTTTTTCCCTACTGTTGTACCACCTAAGACCCTTAGGCAGAGGTCATGCCATTGCGTTACTCAGCATTAAGCCAAATATGAAGAAGAAAATTCCCACTTCAGGAGATTTGTCTTGCCATGTAACAGTTGCTAATTAACATGTTCTTAGTACGTAATCTTAGCACCAGTGTAGTCAAGGTAGAGTTCTTGTGCTACTAAAAGCAGAACATCAATTAAATCGTATTGACTTCAATTAGTTCATTAGAAGATTTCATTAAAATCCAGCTGAATTTAACTTAGATCCTGCTGGAATGTTTAGCTAACTCCAGGCAGTCACACACTGTTAAATAACATGCAAGATAAAGCTTTTCAAGACAAATGTAGAGAAACTACAGAAAGTCTGTATATTCAGGATACCAGTTTTGTCAGTTTTGTTTTCTTTCACTCTCAGGTGTGTGTTTTTCTCTACCAGATAGCAGAAATAGGCAATAGGGTACTGCTAGGGCAAAGCAGGCAGCTGAAAGGGACTGGGTTATGTGTTGGGTTTCTTTTACTAAGACATCTGCAGTCACCTCATACAATGACCTTATCTGCTGTGTAAGATGTTACCATTTCTGAACATTACCTACAGATAAAATAAACAACAGAGTTCTGAATGTACTTTAATAATCAGAGTATGCCAAGTCAGTACAACTGCATCAGATGATTAGACATGATTATGATGATTTATTTATTTAGAATATGGAAGTATCCACAGTTTGCTTGAAGCTTCCCAGGCACCCCAGTTGCTTCCAATGAGAAGGGGAGAAAAGATCTTATATTGAATCCATGTTGTGAAGTGGTAGAGAAGAAAATTTTAAATTATATTGGCATATCCAGATTGCCGGTTTTCACTTGGAGTGGTGAATGAGACACTCCTATAAAATTCTGGCTTGTCATAAATTTTAGTACTTTAAAAGATTTCTAAATAGCCTCTTTCCAAAAATGGTAGCAGCCATATATTTTGTGTAGGGAAAAGTCTGATCAGGTATAACTACCCAAATAATTTGAAAATGAAACCTTTTTTGTGATAAGTTTAAATTTCTAAACACACGTCCAAAAAACTCCCCATGCTGGCATAACTTTTTCAAATACATTGTGGGAAAACAATATTTTATCTTTGGTGATATTTAAGGCAATGATTTAGGCACAATTATGTTGTACTTGTCGTAAGTCTCAATTCAGCATGAAGATGTCATAAAAAATCCACAGTCTAAACTACCAGCACAACATATGTCTTGCTTTCCTTTCACTTTATCTTGTCCTGTCAGTACAGAACTTCACTCTTCACCAATCTTGCACTTACTTAAACGGTTTCCTATCATACATTGTCCAGGATTCAAATTCACCTCTGGCTTCACCCCTTATTGGATAGAGTAACTCCATAGATAAATTCGACGTTTTGTATTGACATTTGGAATAGCCCATAGTTCTGCATCTGAGAACAAGATCCCATGTCCGTATGTGTTATCCAAAAATGTATATTTGTTAGATAAACCCGTATGCCAGTGAGTGGGTCACAGCTGTGCCTAGTTGGGTTTTTTTTTGAGTAAACATGAAAATACCCAGTTCCTCAGTAGCATACAGGATTTGATTTGTAAGTCTGTTATTCTTCTGTAACTGGAGTATCTGAGAAAAAGTCTTCACATTCTTCCAATTCTACCAGTTTCCTGTGAAATACAGGATTAAAATCATTAACCTGGTGTGCAAATTTTAGAAGTCTCTGTGCCACATGGGAGAGTGAAGATAGGGAAGGAGTAATAATTAAGCCCTCACAAAAGGTTTCATCAAATGAGGAAGCCTGGTTTTGCATAGAGGAAAATAACTTATGTTAAGTGGTTTGAGTGGGCTATGAGAGACCCAAGGCTCAGGCAAAGACTTCAATCTGCCAATCAGCCAAAGAGCTAAATTGAGTCGTGCCTCAAAAGTGACTGTTTTTTTCCTCATTTAAGTATAAAATGTGTGACACAAGTAATTTGGGTAATTGGGTGCCAATTAAACAATTATCTCATTATCTTTTATGAACTAAATAAGATGCTTTGAAGTACAAGAAAAATAAATAGAATTATTACAGCTCTGAATTAAAGACTGCTTTTTTTATTAGAAAAGTAAGTGCTCAAAAACATGTAATCCCTGAGTTCCTTAGGAAGTTCCACTAACATGTTTCCAAGTGAAGGCAGAAAAAGGGTAAGAGAGGTCCACAGGGAAAAGGTGCAAATAACAAAAGTGGGAAAAGTGATGTCTGGATTTAGTCACCTACTTTACTAGATAGCTGGACATTTCTTCCCTTAGTTTATCCACACAATTTCTCTTCATGAGAATTGTGACAATGCTGAAGGAAGTACCTTGGTTTGTCACTGCTGCAAAACCAGACTGGAATAGCTTTCTCACAGTGAGCGAACCTCTTCATGTGAACTTGACTTACATGAAGGAATTAGGCACCTAAAAGAGGTATAGGCTTCAGAGTGCAAATGGCACTTCTCTGATATCCCACTTAGTTGTTTTCAAACTTAGAAGCAATCAAAATCTCCTTAGTTGGGAGATGGAGTAGAAACTTCTGCTCCTCACAAAAGTAATTTTCTTTTTTTTTTTCTGGAATTTAGCCACTAGTTTTGCAACATGTTATTGTATTGAAAAATTTTAAATCAAGGTCTAAAAACTAGGGACATCTGCCCTAGGAGATCTCCCCTTTTCTCACTGTAGATGGCTTTTACATCTCTGTCAGAGTTGGGGCTTCTGCCATGAGGCTACAGAGCCCTTAGGGCTGCTTGACAGAGCTAATTCTATGATAAATAACAAAAATAATTTTCATTCCAGAATAATTAATCTAGTTTTGAAGAATGTGCATTCGTCTGGAATGAGTGACTTTATTTTGCACTATTATATGCACATTGGTAGCTATTTTAGAATAGCTATTGCAAAATGACACATTTCTCTAGAGCTGGTCTGAAATGTATCTTTGTACACACGATGTAAGATCATTCTGTGGCTTACTTTCAACTGTATGAAAAAGAAATTTTAAAGTAACACTTTTTTTTTTTTTGGTCAAATATACGAGAGGCATCCTTGCTAAATTTTTGTGGATGCCAAATTCCTACTAAATCAAGGTAATCTTTCATTTTTTTTTCTCTTTTCCATGTCCAAGTTTTAAATATTTAAGTATTTCTTTCTGCCTTTATGGTAAGGGTAGATATCAGTAACAGTAACCACTGTTACAGTACTGATTCTTTCCTTTTTCTATAAGGGGACAACATCTTAATCAACATAGATTGGTGTGTGGGAGGGCTTTCTGTATTAATAAATAAAAATAAGGATGTAATAAAGTTTTTAAAATTATAGACTATTAATTCAGTGTTGAAACCTGAAACGCAACTCATTGAATGAAGAAATTTTTGTGAAAATAACGTATTGCATTTACAGTTCATCTAGATCATAATCTGTATGCTAGCAACTATGCATTTTGCTTAATTTCTAATTTCTTTCTTGTTTATTGTGTCATGTCAACCTGCAGGTTCAAATTTGTAAATAAAGGTCTGTTTCTTAGATGATTTTAAAAGCCCTTATCATAAAACCCTGACAACAAACAAAATCCTAATTTAATGCACTAACGACAAGGCCAAAACACCCACTTGTTTCAGTGGGGTAAAGGAGCTTGCTTAACAGGTTTAATGTCTGTTAATATGCAGACAAATTCTGACCTTGTTCTCTCAGTATTTCTGTGAAATTGTGGCACATATGGTATCCCATGTTCCTTAGTCACGTATTTACCACAGATTAACCAGAAGATAATTATACACTGTAATAAAAGCATACATCCTCATTTAATTCATGTGGGTTACTACTAGGCTGCGTAAGATCAACCACATTTGGCAATCTTCTACCAAATCTGGAAATAAAAGCTTCTTATAGATAAATTTTCAGCTGTGTTTTGCATGTGGTGGGTTTAGGGTTTTTTTGGTTGGTTTTTATTCTGTTTTGAGTTTTTAAGTGTTTTATCTGTTTTCTTATTTTAAAGACAGTTTGAAAGCATGTTTTGAGCATGGTGGTTTTTTTTACTTTCTAGCATGTCACAGGATCTGTTGTAATTTAGCTGTATTTTGTCTATATTTTTTTTGTGTTTTCATAGCATATATTGATTGATGTGGAGGTGTATCAGCAAATAAGTGTATTTTCTTATTTGTAGCCAAAAATAAGTGTGTATAGCTGTATTTTGGGTGGGTTTTTTGAGTCAAGTTCTACACCTGCTGTTCACATGCAACTCACATTAAGCTCAGATATGATGAGATCTTAAAATGCTCATTCATAGCATATTCTCTTATGATGCTTATTATGATTCATAGACTGATTACGGAACAAAAGTCCTCCAGCAGTTCTTTTAAAAAGTAGCTACTTTTATCATCTCATATATATCTCAAACATTTTATGTATTTAAAAGATGAAAATACACTAAATGCAATTGCTTCATTCCATAAATTAACTGCAAAGTATTATTTGAAGGAAATTACTAAGTGTCCAATTGTAAGTGCCTGAAATGAGTTGTGGAGAAAGGGGCTATACACAGTCAAACTTTGCCAGTTTGTGAAGTTTTAAGTGGTTCCATTTTTCTCTTAGAAAAGAAAGTTTTATATCAGGTTTCATTTTGCAATAAGTGTTTAGTATGAAATCTCCCCTTTGGAATGTCAAGTGACCTATGGAGAAGCACATAAACAAAAATAGTTTAATAAGAATAGTTGCACAGCATCTCAAAAAAAAAATAATCCTTCATTGTAATCTAATTTTTGAACTTACAAAATGTTGGTGATTTAGTCAGGTTCATCATGTAAAGAGCACGTCTCATTCTCCTTTGTTTTATGTCCTTTATGTTTTCAGTAGAGTATTTGGACCTTTAGACATCTCCTTAGTTGATTTCCAGAGGCTGCTTTGTGCATGTCTGAAGTGCCTGTATGTACAAGATTGATTGATTATGATGGTCTACTGCTGTTACTAATTTGTTTCCCATTTCCGATTGGCTTTTACTTTTTACAGCTTTGAGCAGTAATTCAGTCCCCTACGCCTCCCTGATTGGCTCTGTGTCCTCCCTCTCTAGCCAAACTACCACTCAGTCCTTATATGATAATAACTCTCTCCCACGATTCGCTCGAAAAGGTCTAAACATCTTTGTCTCTATTATTTTCTCTGTTCAAGCACTGTTTTAGATGTACATCAGTCCACCTCCATTTCTGGATCAATCTAGAGTTCTCTTGTGCCTTTTCACTTACATATTTTCCATAGGGGTGCTTGATCTGGATCAATCAGTGTAATTATTAGATGACTGTCACCCATACTCATTTTGGGAATAGCCAAGTTCTATTAAGTGAATTTTCTAAGAAAATGAGAGAAAACCAGAACTGATTCAAATAAATTAGTACTTATACACTGATTTGTTAATTGAAATTTATAAGAAATCTACCCATAATATCTGCATATTATGCTTTGTTAGTTGACTGACAGCTTGCCTGAATATCTACTTTAAATAATGTCTCACCATCACAGATGTGTTATGAAGGTAATATATAAATATATATGTATAGGGTCAGAAGAATCAGGGCCAGTGCTGCTGGACATTATTTTGGATTCTAGTATGATGCCTGAAATGTCAAAAAAATCAAACAGAAAACAAGAATTTTTAAAAAAAAAAAAAAAGAAAAAAGAAAAACATGCTGTAGTGTGACTGTGTTGTAACCACACGGTCATTTTCAGCTACATTTTCAGGAAATGCAAGTTAACTGTTTTAGGCATGCTCTTGAAATTCACGGTGACAAAGCAAACTGCATTGTGCAACATGGCTTCCAGCTTGAGCCCCCTTGAGTCATCACTGTTTTCCCTTTGTAATTTCAAGAGATCATGGGGTTCACTAGCTTAATTTTTCTAGCCAGCTCTGATTTCTTCCCACAAGCAATTGAAAACTCAAGTTCATTTTAGGTGTGATAGTATAAAGCACGAAGAGAAGAATGTAAGCACTTTGGAGAAGGGTCGTGAAGACTATTAGCGTGAAACAAACGTGTTCACAAATTTTTGCCTGGCAAATCCTCAGCTGGCAGATTGTTCTAGTTGACCCCACACCTTTTCTGTCTTTCTTTTGCCTGGCTGTCCCTATATTCAATTCCACACCCATCTCTATCTCTGATTCCCAGATCTTCTTTTTCATTCAATATCTTCATCAGTGGACAAAGATGTTTACACCTGAAGTAGATTGTAGGTACTTTTGGGGGTTGATGAATGGGGTTTCAGATTAAGCATATTTTAAGGTACTAGTGCAGTCAGTATGTGTGTCCAGCCAAACTCGACAACCCCTGCCTCTACAATCTGCTACTAGTGAAAACATTTTTGAAGTTCTAATTGTCTGATGTCCAATGTTGTCTTCAGTGACTGTTGTCTAAAAGCAATGGTGCATGTTATTCTAGTCATTCACAATTGCATGTGAATGTCAGTCACCTCAAAATTTCATAAACTATTTAAGTATTTCTAATTTAGTCAGAATATATAGTCAGTCTTCTAGACCTTGATGCATTATTATTAATCCTCAAGTTATCCATTTCATTTTTTCTAATTTATTTTATAAGTTAGTTTTGTGTTGATTTGAGGTTTCTTTGTTTTATACCATTTCCTTTGCAGGTTTAGGTGTCTCCGGTTACCTCGGTAACCTTCATTCTTCGAGTTCGTTTTTCTTGATTATGCATAAGTCATTTTGTTTTCTGTCAAAGCACTATTCTTTCCCCTCTTAGGGCTCTTTCAGTGTCTGTTTCTCAGCTCACCTTTCTTCATCTAATTCAATGGAGTTTCCATTTCATGCAGGGCAGGAGAAGGAGTTTGAAATGACATTAAGAGTCATTACTCAAAGCAGAGGTCGACATCAGGTCTAACTGTGTCATTTTTCCATGCCTAGCTAACCTCATTGACTCATCACAGTAACTCTTTCCTCTACAATAGGAATGTTAGCTTTGGGAATATGCTTGGTGACTTCTTTTCATTTGGCTTCAGAGCTCATCTATCCAGAGCATGTCCTGCTTTGAGTAACCAAACTATTTGCCTGCTTCTCTCACATATGACATCTTTACTACTTACACATTTCTAGCCATTCTAACTACTGCATTTTCTAAATTTTAGAGTCATGCCATCATTGTGGTTTACTTTAAACTCTCTTCTTTCTTGTTCAACAGGTATGGCCAGTCACCCCCCAATACCCATCTTGGAACTTGCAGATCACATAGAAAGATTGAAAGCAAATGACAATTTGAAGTTCTCACAGGAGTATGAGGTAATTTTCCCCAATTTCTCATTATTCAAATTGTTCAAACGTCCTGCTTTCTATTTCACTAGACTTTTCTCTGATAGGTACCCATCCTCATGGTGCCAGTTTTCTATGATATTAAAACAATGATAAAAAAAAGTTTTCAGTGTAAAATGACTACACTGGTTAGCTTGCTCCTTTACTTGTAAAAATCTATTCTCTTTTATAAGGCTGTGTTGTCAGGCAGATTCCACGGGCACATACTTGAAGTGATGTGTGAACGATACAGCACTTACTCTTTTGAATATATGTAAACATCTATCTACTCTGCAGTTAAAAGATCCTTAGATTATTTAAAAAATATCCAGTGTAATGTTGACAGGACATACACAGTACAAGGTTCAAAGGAACTGTAGTCCACTGTGTTAATTTTGCATGGTTTGAAAGAATTTGCAATTGCCTGGTGTCTTTCTTAATATAACAGTTTCAAGACATAGTATTTTCCTCCTTTAAATAATACCACATTGATAATCTGTGAACGATGGTGTCAAAGAGCATGAAAGAATTTAACTGGAAAAGAGTAATCATTTGCAAGCCACCTTGTCAGTAATCCATAGAGTATACCTTCCCAGACAGGCATTGGTACTGTGGAGAGTAACAGCCTCTCATGTCAGTAATTTGTGGCTAAGGGGACTTCAATAGCCTTCCATTAAACACAGTAAATTATAGCTGTTTCTTCAACGCCAATATGGTCTATGTCAAAAATCTGTAGATAAAGTATACACTGAACCATCAGAAAAACAATGCTGCTTTAGAGCAGCTGTGGGCGGTCATGTCAGTGATCCAAGGATTAACAGCTCCCAGGGGGATCATTGATATAGTATTTTCTTTATAGTCTGTTATGTCACTAATCCTTGCTTAAAATTCCCAAAGACTTTTTTAGCATGGTGAAGTAAAAACCCATGTTACTGTCATTCTTTTAGAGACTGCCTATTCATTGCATTTGAAGGTTCATACAAACTGTCAGTGCAATAAAAAAACACTAAAGAAGACTTTCAAATGTTGGTTACATACTAATATGTGACTGCATGGTACAGAGATCCTGTATTTTAAAAAATCTTGACAGAAGGTGTTAAAAATTAACACTAACTACTATGACAGAGAACTACAATTGTATATTATTTAGTTGAACACATTATTCAGAAAAACCTTGACTACTCTAAAGAATAATCTCATTAGATGTTAAAAGGAAAATATAGTCTCAACTATTTGTGGAAATAAATTCATTTGAAGAGTATCTCAGGATTGCTGTTTACTGTCACAAACACAAAAAATGTGTGAGTGTCTTCTCATATTTCTGTGTGTAGAACCTGAGTTCTTAAGTATGAAGATTTTCATATATAAAGAATCAGACCAGGAAATATATGTCACAGGATGTTCACCATAAAAAAAAAAAGCTAACATTTGGTAGAAATTTGAAAATAATTTCCTGTTGGACTATGGGCAAATTCCTTGAAAATCTGTGTAGGAAATTCCATTTAATAAATAAAAAACACCATTAGAAGTCATGTAATGTAGTACAAATTCCATAAAAATAAACAATGCACCTCTATTACATCTTGAGCATGTTGTGGAGACGACATGCTTCTTTTTATGCTGTAATATAACTTAAAAGTTTTGGTGTTTTATATTTCCTTTACTATTTATATTGTTAAAATAATATTGAGATCATAATCCTATTTACAGCCAGCATTGTGAAGATACATTAAATCATTAAATTCTTAGAATCTGTCCCTCCAGAACTTTGTATCTGTCCGTGTAAACAGGCCAGCTTTCACATTCTATTTTATTCTTATTTTTACAAAACAGACTATCTGAGGCAGAGTGATCAGACACTCAAGATTAAAATGTGGGCAATTGTAGGTCAACATCAAGCATCATTCACATTGCTTTGCCCAAAGAGGTTCAACATTTATCTTTGAAATCCCAGCTTTAGAGATACCACTTCATTTCCATCTAGTCCAATGTTCATGCATTTTGAAACAGCATTAGTTAAAAGCACTGCTCTTTGGTTTCATGGTTTAGTCTAGGCAGTGGACTAAGGCTGCAGTTTGATGATCACTGTAAGTCATCTCCCTGTCTTGGCTATGCATTCCTGTTGTCTCTTGTGCCAATCCTGGCACTAGCACATATGCAGCTGTTCAAGGATTATCTCAGGAAATAGATTCAGCTGAAAACTAATTGTTTTATTTTCCTTTGCTGTTTTCAGTTGGGTCAATTCCCTGAACTAGCTCACCACATGGCTGCGTGAGCTTTAGTGCCAGCACAAGGGAGTTGGTGGGAACATTTGTGGTTGGGGATTGGGACCTTCTCTTTCAGCAGCAGTCCTCACTAATGTCCCTTAAAAGCAACTATCTGATTCTGAGGCAGAAATGGGTACAGATGGTAGCAGTTCAGTTATTATCACTTTAGATTACATTTGAACTAGTAATACAGAAGAAAAAAGAGGTATTTTTCACCTTCACGAGCTAAAGGTGTAACACGTAGCAGAAAACCACTGACCTTTATTGATAGTAATAAAATCCTCCAGATAATTCCCATTTTGGAATACAAACATTTTTCATCAGTTACAACTGATGATTTTTATTTTTTTTTTCATAATGGCCTTTCTTTTTTGGCACTCCATTATTTTGTTTTACTTTTTATGGAATTTCATACATTGCAGGGATTAAATTCTTCAAGCAACAAACCGATAGTATACAACACCTATTCTGACATCTTTGTGATACAAAAAAATAAAATGTAAATACACAGTTTCCTGATGAACACTGACTTCTAATCCAGTTTGTAGAATTTCTTTCAGGAGGTTAGCTCCATTTCAAATGGATGTTTCAATTATTTTTAGCATACCCTACATTAGTTGCCACTTCCAAAGAATTACTTGCTTCACAACTCAAACATACCTGCTCATACTATATGCACCCTTTTCAGGTATTCAGAAGTATTTGAATACTTGCTCCAATTCCCTCCTTGCTCCTGTACCATCCACTGCCTTTTGATCAGAATTTCTGATCAAAATTGCATACAGGTTTGGTTTTCTCCTTTTGGAAGAATATCACTTCCTTGCCTGTTCCCACTTTCTCTTCAGAGACACAGGAACCTCCCCACCCCTTCAGTATTTCCAAAAGAGAGAAAAAGTTTTCTTACAGAAGGCACACATCTACATGCTCTCTCCTCTGATTATTTATACACTCTGGTGTAATTTGCTAATGAAATCCCCTAGTAGCCTCCTAGGGAAGGTGGAGGAAAATTTCTTTGTCAACTTGGACCATGAGATCTCAAATACTCCCAAAATCAACCCACTATTCCCCATTCATCTAGAACAAAGCTTCCCAAATGGGGTTTGTTTGTTTGGTGGTTGGTTTTTTTTCTTTTCCTGAGAATATCTTCCTTTTTGTGCTGTGTGACAACTAGTTTAGAAAATCTAAAATTGTCATTGAAGAAATCTTAAATCCAAACTGCATCCGCCTGCAGTCTGGTTCTGAAAGGAACACCCGGGGTAATGTGGCAAGTTGAGAAAACAGGTATTGCAAAAAAAGTAAGTAGCAATATACTTAAGTATAAACTATATATTCTCAGAAAAAGAAAAAAAATGAAAAAAAAATAAAAAAAAAAAGAAGAACTCTTTCATTGCTATATTGGTAAAAGGAGTGTATTCTCCAGTGCAGATCATCTTCCAGCTGCATACTGTTTTCTAAGCTCTGATGTTATCAATTGGAGGAGTTCCTACTTCTACAAGTCTTCAGAAACTGTTTCATAGCGACTTAAAGATTTTTACTGTTCCAAGATTTAAATAAAATAATTCACCTGTTGAATGAAGTGGTTTTGTAGTTGTAGCAAAGATAGAGTTCTTCTCAGTAAAGTGCATTTCTACTTCAAAATAAATTTTTCATAATTTTTATTTTTTTATTATTTTTTATTATTAGCTTGCCATCCCGAAGCCTTAGCAAAATGTTGGTTTACTTTGTTAATATGACATATTCTTTATGTCACATAGTTCTTTTGTATTACCTAACCTAAAGACAAGGTTCTTGACCCCAACTGATTATATGAAGCTTTTGCTGAGTTTGGCAGTTTCAGTGGCCTTTTTATGTAATACAAGGCTCCATATGGACTTGACAGCTGCTAAGTAGAAAGCCATATTCATAGAAATCTGACCTTTTTATCATATCTCCTTGTTAACTTCAGAATGTAACAATAAAAAGTGGTCATGGAGATACACTAATGTTCTGACTGCTTTATGCAATACACTAGATGTATGTGTGAAGTCATTTCCTCCTGTATCATAGAATAGAAAACTTCTTCCTCCAAAGCAGACTGCTGTGTCTTGTGTAAAACAGTTTCACACTTACTATCCGAGATATGTAGGCATAGCTTTACATCCTCAAGGAAGTAGATTGGGATTCATACCATTTTTGTGTGAGAACCTTTCACTGCAACACAGAAATTACATTACCATCCTCATTGTGTTACTGTGTGATTTACTGTGTACATGTGTGTGTGTGCACTGGTTAATTGTTACGAGACGTTGTATATAATTTTATTGTTTTTCCTCATCAGGCTCTTTCTGTACATCACAGCCAGTTTTCTGCTTTAACACTGAGTATTGGAAAAGATGAAGATGCATTTCGACTCTGTGCCACACTGCTGTACTGTTACAAGTTTTATTGTAGCTTTTCAGTATCAGTGGGTAGGATTTGTGATGAGAAGACAATTTACTTTTAATATAGTACATTTTTCTTTTTGTATCTTAGGCTGCAACAAGATAAACACTGGACACTAAAACATAATAAATTTTATATAGTAGAAGCACATATAAAGCTTGTTATTGATATAAAACACTTTAAAAGTCCATGAAGATCAGATGACAGAATCTGTACCAAAGAAAACAGCTGCATTTAACTGCCATATCATTACAAATAATAGTGACTCATATGCAAAAATCAATTTCTTCTCAACAAAAAACT